TTTTTTTTTTCTTCATCTTCTTCTTTTTCTTCCTCTTCTTCTTCTTCTTCCTCTTCTTCTTCTTCTTCTTCTTCTTCTTCCTCTTCGTCTTCTTCTTGTTCTTGTGCTTCTTCTTCTTCTTTTTTCTCCTCTTGTTCTTTTTCTTCATCTCCCTCTTCTTCTCTCTTCGTTTGTAAATTTTCTTTCTGCGTTGTGTTTTGTCTACAGAGAGAGAGAGAGAGAGAGAGAGAGAGAGAGAGAGAGAGAGAGAGAGAGAGAGAGATATGAGAGAGAGAGAGAGAGAGAGAGATGAGAGGAGAGAGAGAGAGAGTTCACTACTACGGGCCACGAACGCATAGAACGATGTACGTAAGTGCGATTTTAGCCCACAGTAACGAACTCCATACGTTTTCGTTTGCCGGAGGGTTCCTTCTTTGTTTATTCCTGACGTCTCTTTTATTCTGTTACTCTCTCTCTCTCTCTCTCTCTCTCTCTGTCTCTCTCTTTCTCTTTCTTTCTCTCCCCCTCTTTTTTTTCTTTTTTCTACAATCTTTCTTTCTTGCGTTCGTGTCTCTCTCACTCCCTCATTCGGACGGATGCGTTTGGAAGAATGGTCTGCTTTCTTTTTGTTAAGGCGTGTTGTCTGTGTGATATCGAGTCATGTATGGGGGAAACGCAGATGTACAATACAAAATAACAATGTATGTTTCCATGCACATATAGGCGATCTTTTGTAGGAGCCCGTTGACAAAAAGTGAGGAAGTAGTGACACCCTGTCTCTGTGCCCCCCCTGTCCCTCTCTCTCTCTCTCTCTCTCTCTCTCTCTCTCTCTCTCTCTCTCCACACATATTTCTCTGTATATACAACCGTTTCCAGATGTCAAGAGTGGCCAAAATCGGACAGAAGAGAAAGTCGGGCGAAGAGTGTCATGCAACGGTGGATGACTTTCTACTACCGGGGGCCAAAGAAGATAAGAGGACTGGCATGGAACCCAACAAGGGTCGTATAGTAGACAAACAGCGAGAACATATAGACAAGCTAAGAGAGGGGGTGGATAAGCAGAAACAATTAGTGAGACAGTTCTCGGACGAACTAGGCCGTGTTAAGTCACTGCTCAACGAAATGACAAAAACTGCGGAACACAGGATGTTCACCGTGTTCTGGTTGTTACTGGACGATCCTAAATGTTTAGACATAACTCGTCTGAAGGAGGAGATGTCTGCCAGACTGAAGGCAATAGCTGAAACAAAGACCACCACGGTTGATGAGTTCCAGACATGGTTGGATATTGAAAGGCGCAGGCGCACTGCGGTCTTAAATCGGTTCGCAGCCCATGTCACAGAGAGAACTCAGAGGGAATCACAACAACGGAATGTCGCGTCTTGTGCCAGCCCTGGCAAGTGTGTGCTGAAGGAGGGGTGGGCATCCTACGATAGCCAAGCGTATACCACAGGTTCGCTATCTGCTTCGGGACGCAGTGTCGTTGACCTCTTAGCCTTCGCAGAGGACTGTATTCGGCACTGTATGAAAACCGTGGAAGAATACGGTCTTTGTGACGAGGGTGTGACGTCTGTTAAGGATGACCTTCCTAGCAATATGACGTCTCTGTTGAGAAGTTGCGCGGACGTCATGGATGCCCTGCAACACACTCGAGGTAGGTTGTTGGGTGGGGAGCTGACGGTGACATGTGTGAATGAAGTTGTCATGGGAAGTGCAGAAAGTGAAAGGTCGAAGGCGAGTGAAGAACTCGACACAACAATGCAAACATCCAGAGGGATCGGGACCAGTGTCGTGGAACTTGCGCCTGCGCCGCATCCCTGCTCGTATGCACCGATGTTGCAGCACTGAACTGTCAACAGGTTCGTCGCAACTTCCCTTGTGTCGTTACCAGCAGAGCACCTTCTGCTGATGCAGAATCTGTTGTGCTGCCAATGACGACGGACACATTCGAAAAGTTTGTTGCCAATGCGAATTCTCGACAAATTGCGAGGCTGATTGCGGACTGTCTGTCCCATCTCATATCATACATCAAAGAGATTATGGCACCGGTCTTTACGAACACATGCCAGCATGGAGGGAATCAGAAATGTGAGCGTTGCAGGAAAGGACTACACATCCACAACCGCTTAAAAACGCTCTACCGACACTATTGAAATTGAAATGGAAAAAGTTGAATAGACATCAACACAGCAGCGTCATATCAACCGACACTATTGTAGACATCGTTCCAATTGTTCCACGCTTCTGTAAACCACAATGGGGATCGAAGCAGCATGCAATACAGCGTGAGGAATGTTTTTTTTTGAACAAGTACATATTGTAGAAAAAACAATTGCAAAGTTTCTATCTTTGCTAAGAGAGAGAGAGAGAGAGAGAGAGAGAGAGAGAGAGAGAGAGAGAGAGAGAGAGAGAGAGAGA